GTTAACGTTTATCGATAGTACTGTGTTTGAAGAACAATTCATATAAATTTGTAACATTTTCAACTATTTTTTAAAAAAGTTATAGAGCATCGTAATTTTAAGTTGAAAAATTTGTAAATTTATTACGTGTTTTTCTCGAATTTGATGGGGATGGGGTAACTTTTTTTAAATTTTTGGCCCGTTAAGGCACCTTCTAGGTATGATTTCTGATCTATAGAGTTGCTATACGAAGAAATCGGTTCAGCGGTTTACGAGATATCGTGGGTCCAGACACAAAAATAAAATAAAAAAATAAAACACATCATTGTAAAAACAATGCCTTCTCAGCTCCGCATCGAAGCTAAAACATTTATAATTTCTATCACTAACGATAGTCCTCCAGCCTATTTCTCAAAATCCTAATAACACCATACAAAAATTAGTTTTTTACTGGATACCTACGATATACCTAATAAATATTTAAAGAATATACCTATGAATTTTTTTTTTTATTCTTTCTAAAACGTTTTTTTTTCCAACGTGTGCAGAACTGTTCAACCAGAGGCCCAAATTTAGGTTACCATATGAAGTATTGGGTGTAAAAAACAGAATTATTTATCGTTGTTTTTGACATTTTTTTTTTTTTGCTCGGGTTCGTATCGTAGTGAATAACATATGAGTAACAGCCCACGCAAAAACACATTCCTAAATCAATACACAACCACAAAAACAATTTTACAAACATGGAATTTAGCACACGATAACGTGCTGAAAAGTAATATGAAATCAAAGCACTTTTCATATTAAAATATGTAGGATTAATTTTCGTACTCTGAATTGTTCTTACATAAATCTTATTTAAGCCAACCCAATACCAATGAGATTGTGGCCAGCCAGAATATGTTTTTCCGCAACTCTCGCTCTCTCACTACATATACAATATAATATAATATATATACCTGGACTCACTAGATACCAGGCTAAAAAATTGTAAAATTAAATTAAACGAAATTAAATCAGCTCACGCCACACTGTGTCCTTAAACGAAACTCCCATTTCCCAGTGCTCTCAAATCAAATATTTAGGCTTAATATTAAACGAGCTCCTAACCTGGTCACGACATTAATTAAAAGACAAAACACTCAACTGTCGACTAGATATGCTTCGACCTCTTCTACACTCAAAAATACCAATAAAAAACAAGCTCCTTCAGAAAAGCTATTTACAGCAGTTTTTTGGAGAAGTTCATTAAATATAAAAAAATTAACACTATGAAAAAAACATTTAGATGTGAACGAATACTTAGAGAGAGTTAAACCACTCTAAATACATTATCAGTAAATATATTATTTTATAAATTGCATTTTCAAGTAGTAGGTACATAGTTACATAAATATAAAATTATTTTTTGCCCATTTCAACCCCTTAAAAAAAAAAAGTAATCCAGAAATCAAAATTCTTTCTTAGTGCACGCCAAGACTATGATATAAACACACCCTGAAAATTTCAAGTCGATAGCTATCATAGTTTAGGCTGTGCGTTGATTATGAATCAGGCAGAACTACTTAGCTTATATATATATATTAAAGATAGATAACTCAGACATAGCCATTATAATATTATTTATAACAATCAAGAAAAAACTTAACAATATTAACATAAAAGTATTCAAAAACCATCATATATTATATTTTATTTGTAATTTTAATATAGAACATTGTTTTTAAAATTTTTATTTCTATTTTAAGTAACCAACCCTTAAGGTTGGGGTTTATACAGCATTCTTCCATACTCCCTCCACTCTTCTCTGTTAGTGGCCGTTCTCTTCAGTTCCCTGTAGGTTCTCAGTCCGGCATCTTTAATAACTTTTTTGATTCGCGTTGTTCTAGGACGTCCTCTGCCTATCTTGGCTTCTATTTGTCCTTCCAATATTCTGTGGTGTAGTTGCTCCTCGTGTCTTAAAGTATGTCCAATTAGTCTCCATCTTCTTTCTTTGATTGTATGTGCATAGATGAAATTAACAAAGCTACTATAATTTTGAACATTTTTTTTCTCTGGCTACATGTTTGCATTTCAAACTATTTTTGATACGAGTACTGCCTCATTTGCATTTGTATGTAATAAATTATTATTTCAGTCAGGTGTAAGCTACATGTAAATTTGAATTGAATATTTTTTGTTATTTCACTAACGACTTAAAATCTGCACAATATTTCACAAAAATATGTTCATCTAAACTTAAAAACTAAAATTGATACTTGTTGGGATGTACCAATTGGCCTCTAGACTTAGCTAAAATCTAGTATTTATCTACATCATTCTACCTTAAACTGAAATTAATTATTGTTAATCAAATAAAATATGATCAATATCACGGTTGAATATACAGGTTATTGTACATTGTCTCGAATTGTTATATTGAATTGAATTTAACCTCAAATCTAATTTCAATGGTTTTCGTTTTAGTCTAAGGCAGTATCAATTTTGATAAGGGTTAGCAAACAATTTTTAAATGTTATTCCTACGGAAGGCAACATGTATTTCCTTTATCAAACTATTTTGAAGTGTTTTGCATTCTGAAATTCAAAACAACTTCAATTTAACATATATATTTTCTGGGGTTAGGAATCAATATATAAGTGACTTTGTGTAAAGTAATATAAATTTGAAATTTATTTAAGTGCTTACCGTCTAGATGGCCAGGATCTGCACGTTCTAAATTATACAAAAACCATTTAAACATAATATTTTAACAAACAGCTATGCAAAAATAATTCTATAAACCACAAAGAAAATTATTACCCGGTACAACGAACATAATAGCCAATTCCCCTGAAATAAAGACATTAGTTAATATTATAAAATAGCATTAACTGAAATGTTTTCAACAAGAAACAATCCAAAATTGTATTTTTTTACATATAAAATTAGTGTCTTAATTTCATAAATTAAGTATTTACATAGTTTTTGGAACATTGGTTTGTGAACTCTTTATCCGAACAGATAACAAAAAGTAACGATTTTCAATTATTTATTCACTCAATAATCAGAAAACAACCAACTATCTATATCAATATATTAGTCTAAAATTGATCAGTATAATATGAATTTTAACTCCTTCAAGTCCAAAGAACATATTATTGTACTTTTTGATTAAATCATTTTTATCGATTGGCTGTTACATATTTAATGATTACTACAAATTATATGTACATGATAAATACAAGAGATAATCACCAAAGATTTATCGCGATTTCGATCATTTTTTCCATGAAAAAATAAAGTGATGTTGAAACTTTGAATTTATATTTTCCACATGAAACACTGTTTTATTAAATGAATTCATTATTTGTTCTATTTAAACACAAAGTAATGCCGTTTATCAAATAGTCCGCCCCGAGGAACACTGTGGTGTATCCCTTTGCTATGTTCTTTAATATTTGTCTGACCTTATTCTTTTGTATATGTAAACTCTCAAAGATGCTCGGTAATACAAAATTTATAAACACCAATTCAAAAAAAATAAGGTCTGAAAGGATTAAAAATATTTTACCTGCATAAAGAGCCTGCTCGATGTACAAGTCTGTAAAAAAAAAACACAATTTTAAAACAGTTTATTTTTAAGAAAACAAATTAACTTACTTGCCACGAAAACGTTTTTTTTATACTCCACTGCAAAGAAAGTTGAGTGTTAACATTTTTTTTACCACTTTATATAGGTAGTACAATATGTAAAGATTAAATAATTACCTATGTCGACGGCCAAAACATTTTCAAAGGCACATAAAGAAGTTAAAATAAAGAAGAGTTTCATTTTTATCTGCAAGAAATAGTTAACAGCAAGTTATTATTTTTTTTTTTTTACAATTTCTGCGATATTTGTGTGCAATTTATAAAAAAGTTGACCTAGTGGTTAAGAACTCATCGCAAGTCGGACTGGAAAATAATATATAAGTTTGATTGTATTACTTACATCAGTTGACCAATTTTGGATGTTTAAAGTAACTGTTGTAAAATTATTTCTTGAGATATTCCGTGGGGTTTTATGTCGACCAAAACGGTAAGTTTAAATTAACTATGCAAGGGCGCTGTAGTTATTTTGTTTACACAAATGGTTTGTTTTTAAAAATATAATTTCATATTTACAGTTGTCTGACACAGAGTGAGTTCCAAGTTTTTAATTTGCTCGTAAAACTATCGACTATACAATACTCAAGACACTTTAATTCCTAAAAATAAATTATCTTGCCTAGACAAGATATTCAGAAATTACAAACGACACTCTTCCTACAGACCTACACATAACTTTGGTTAGCAAAGTTACCTAATAACACCACAAAAAACTTAATTAACACTTCCGTCTCCAATTAAATGCTCTAATCTCGGAGCTATACAAAAAATCCCCTTCCGGGTGACCCCACAAGGAGACTTAAACGCATGTGGCCCAGAAACTTTTTAGCTGATGAGTAGTAGACTATGGTTAGCATAGCACAATGCACATGCAAACACATATAGTTAATATTGCTATAGTTGATAAATAATCATTTTGACAGGAATAAATATTACTAATAATATTATACAGGGTGTCTCAAAAAGAATGGCGGGGTTTCAAACGGCTGTAGGTTGTGGACTGTTGGACCTACAGCGCTCTGGTAGGGCTTGAATGAAAGAAGGAGCTGTCAAGTTTCGAATGACTGACAAACGACTGTGAAAAATCTAGAGGCAGAGACATCTAGTGGCAGTCATTCGAAACTAGACAACTTCCTCTTTTATTCAAGCTCTGTCAGAGCGCTGTAGGTCCAATCCTTCACAACCTACAGCCGTTTGAAATCCTACCATTCTTTTTGAGACACCCTGTACACTAATAAACTTGCCAGGAGAGAATAAAAACTGCAATACTGTCGACAACTCTGACAAGTACAACTAACTCGCTCAATCAATCAATCCAGTGTGTGTCATTTAGTCTATTTCATTATTTTGTCTTACAAAAAAATATATTTATTGAATCGTGAGCAAAACTGTTTGTTATAAAATACATTTAATATATTGACAATTTGGATACTAGTGCAGAATGCGACAATTATTTAAATAAAACAATAATAGTGGTATATATTTTTTCATTAGTAATCCCTAAGATTTCTGGTTAACGTGTCATACCTGAAGAATACAGGGAATAATAAAAAAAACTTACTTTTTTTACAATAGCGATTTGGGTATCATACAATTAGTTTTGACACAGTAGATTTTTTTAACATTTCTTAACGTTTTTATTTACCATGTTTTTCTTTTTTACAAAAAAAAATACTTTTCTAATTTTACTCATTCACTCTATGACCGAGAAAGAAGGTTTGCCTGTTGTCTTAATATTTTTACATGTTCCACAATTTGCTCGACGGAGTGGTATGTGATCTTAACTTTGTTGTAGTTAGTTAAGACACATTCCTCATCATCATTGATTACTGCGTCTATTATGAAATAATCTCGGCCTTCTGTGCAGCTGATCAATCCCATTAGTAAACAATACTTTTCAAAAGCCAATTGTGTTTCCTTTTTAACTTTAAACGAATAAAAAAATATTTTCCTTTACTGTACAAGCATACCTGTACTTCATAACTTACTAATGCTAAAACAAATGAATACTTACTTGATGTATCGATGACTACAGATTTTATAACGTCTTGAGTCAACTTTCTTCGGATAGCTCCAAAATGTAACAAATCAGCATTTTCAAAATCTGCAAAAAATTAATATTTGTGTAAAACTAAAGTTTGATTACAACAGTCGAGTAAATTAGTGATTACTTAGGCCTTTGACAGAAGGGTTCTTGAGAATATATGAAACTAAAATATAAAACATAAATTACAAGCCATAAGGGCTATTTACAATAATTCGATAAACGAGTAATTACTTCTGTTTGGGACAGGCTTCTTGGCCTGCGTCACTTGGAGATTGTCTGCAACCATTTAAAATAGAAAATTACTACCATTGAATAACCATAATTATAAATAATTAATAAAATCTAGCTAACTAAGTAATTATTAATTTCGATAAGGGATAAGGTAAGTTTTATTCTTACAAAAAGCAACGTGTATTTCCTTCCTCAGATCAACTTGAAGTCTTGTGCATTCTAAAATTCAAAACAATATTAATTTAATGTATATATTTTCATGTGTAAATATAAATCAATATGTAATTTTCTGTTTATACTCTATGCATGTGTCATTGTGCCATGAATGGCCGAATGTACAAGTTACATATTTTACAAGTGACATAGTGTAAAGTATTGTAAATTTGAAATTTAAAAACGGTACTTACCGACTAGATGGTCGGGATCTGCACGTTCTAAATTTAAAACAAAAACTTTTTGTACTTAATATATTTATTAAAAAAAACTACGCGAAAATAATCCAATAAACCGCAAAGAAAATTATTACCCGGTACAACGAACATAATAGCCAATTCCCCTGAAATAAACATATTTTACCAAACATTTTAATATTATCAAATATATTTAAAATAGCATTAACTGAAATGTTTTCAACAAGAAAAACTCCAAAATTGTAACTCTTTACTGATAAAGATAGTGGCTTGCGTTCAACATATCATTCTGTATAATGATTAAATAGCTGAATTGAAGTAGATCTACCAAGTAGTATAAAACATGATTAGATGAGTTTGAAAGAAATAAAATCATTGTTAAAAGAGGAGTCGTTCAGATTATAGAGTAAAATACAAAATTTACATCACTGATGAATTCGTATAGAATAAATATTATTGTCATATTATTTTATCAAATATTTGTATTTGTATTGGTTAATTAGGATTACCCATTGTGTGTCGATTTCCACAAACAACTCCTTTAATTATTTCCGGTAAAACACCTATAAAAAACAAATAATGGTGGGGAAAATACAAAAAGTCTCAAATAGAATTATATGAACGATATAAGTCCAAATTTGAGGAGAAGAAAGTAGGTCTGAATGGAATGAGAATATTTTACCTGCATTTAAAGCCTGCTCGGTGTACAAGTCTGTAAAAAATGATTTAAAAAAAAAAAACAGTAAAATTCAAAAACATAAAGAGTTTATTTATAAGAATGAAATGTTACTTACTTGCCACGAAAACGTTTTCCTTATAGTTAGCTGTAAAGAAAAAAAAATCGAATTTTTTTCTACTACTTTAATTAGGTGGTAAGTGTAAAAATTAAATAATTACCCACGTCAACGGTCAAAACATTTGCAAAGGCATATAATATTAAAATAAAGAAGAGTTTCATTTTTATCTGCAAGTAATAGTTGATGTTTAAGTATATTATACTATTTTTTCAATATTAGTGTGCTATTCATAAACAATTATTGGCATAGCGGTTAAGAAGTCATCGCAAGTCCAACTAGATACATACATACATACATATACAAATAGTAAGTCGAGAAGACCTATTAAAAATGAATGAAAATCCTAATAATTCTATTGTAATACTTACATAAGTTATTGCAATTATAGAAGAAGTTCATCTATTTAAAAGTCACCGTTTTAAAATGATTTCTTGAGATTTTTCGACGGGCTTTTATGTTGACCCAAAACTGTAAAATCTAAATAAATCATGCGGGAAGCCTTAGTTATATTGTTTAGACAGATGATTATTTTAATACCTGATATTTACATTACATTCTGACGCAGTGTTAAGTACTTGTCAGCTATACGTTTTTAATTATGTGTTTTTATTTTTAGCTTCTATTTACAGTGATGTTTTTTATTTGTGTCTGAATCTGGACCCGCGATATCTTCTAAGCCACTGGACCGACTTAGATAGGCCAAAAATTAAAATAATTCCCCCCTTTAAAGTGGAGAAAAACGCCCAAAAAATGTGCATATTTTTCAACTTAGTGTTTGATTATTTAGAGTAGTATTTGTGTGGAATATTCTTTAAATATAGTCGTACCTATAAACGTTGACAACCCGAATATAATTATCATATTAAACCCTTTCCCCTAGAAGGGGTGGACATTTATTCATTATTTCGCTCTTTTTAGGTGAAATTTAAAATTTCAAATCTAAAAATTAAACCCAATGTGGATCTAGAACAGACCTATATAATAGGTATATACAATTTTTTCAAAAATCTCTAGTGCATTTGAAAATTATTGAAAAATATACCGAATAAATTATAAATTATTTAAATATACTTAGGACAATATATTTCCTACAAAAGTAAGTTGTTCCCCGTGTAAAATGATCTAAAAGTTTTCTCCTTTTTTATTTTTATGTAGATAAAGTTTAGATTGGGAAAGCAGCCTGAAATGGACTATTTTCGAAAATTTAAATACATTTACGCTGTTTGTTTGACATTTTTGTAGCGATAATATAATTCTAGACTTTATCTGATGACTCGGTATCAATTTTATGTTTGTATGTTCTTATACATAAGCTAAATGTAATATGTAAACATCCAAAAAAGACAAAACTTCCAATTTAAGTAGATACAACTTGGGGGCGATGTGCTTTGAACATCAGCCGTTTGTACATAATACACTTAATTTACAATGTAGATGATTCAATATTTTATGTGCTTTTTCGCTATTTTATTAGGGCTTTGGGTCTGAAAATTAGACCGAATGTAGTTCTAGAATAGGGCATTGACAATTTTCTGAAAAAAATGTGTAGGTAGACAAAATTTTTTTTCGATACACAGCTGCGACGATAACAATAGTTTACAGAACAAATTAGAATATTTCGCAATTAATTGTTCGTATACAGCTGCGTTGATAATAATAATAACAGCATATATTTTAATTTGTTTTAACAACTGGACATTTTTTTCACGTGCAAGGCGATCAATGTAATGTAGTATACTCATTTTTTCTTGGATTTTATTCATGACATAAGTCCCCATAATTTTCACGGATTGACAAAAACATCTTGTATTTAATCAATTTAAGTCAATTGCGATTTTATTCCAAATTTTAATTTAATTAACTGAAACAATTTTAATAATGTTTATTAGATTATATAATTTAATATTATATTTTATCTAGGTACTTACTAAGTGTAAAGTGCACTGATAAGTTTAGACCGTTTCCTATGGTTGGGCAGTTCCCCATTATTGTTATTATTACTGTCAATCTTAATCTCTATCTTTATAGATCTTAGCTGATGTTAATGGTTTAATACATAATATATAAATAATAATACAATAATGGTTACTTGAAATAGGTAATTAATAATTATTATTGTCGCCGAATCTTGACGTGCCGATAGGATTACAAGGAGAGTAGGAATTCCGAGAAACGGTTACCGCGGTATAACAATAAATATTGATAAGCCAAATGTTGGTTACTGTGGTAACTGTGTTAAGCGCGTTTTGATAAGAAAACGGCCGAAACATGCAAAATTCAGAAATCAACAACATAGCGTTAACGGTGATATTTTTTTTTTGACTGGATTTTACCGGCCAGTTGCTTTTCTCTACCAGACAATAATATGTCGAAACAGATTAGAAGTGCCGCCGGATTTATTATATACAGGAAAATCGAAGAGAAAATCCAATATTTACTACTGCAAGCGTCGTATGAAAACCACCATTGGACTCCGCCAAAAGGTTACCTACCTGATTTATTTTTCTTAAACCGCAGCACGAGTTCCGCGTTATTTAGTATTCAACCCGAACGACGAATAATTAATGTATTGATTTTAATTAAAACTATTCAATGATATATTTAGGTCATTTAGAGAATGGCGAGACGGCTTTAGATGCGGCCCTGCGCGAAACCCAAGAAGAAGCCGGAATCGGAGTATCGGATTTGCTCGTCGATCCAAATTTCAAACAAGTGTTGCAAGTACGTAATCTAAACATGATAATATTTTGTTTTAAATTCGACTACGGTTTTAACATTGCCGTCAATGTTTCAGTACGAACCGGACAAGAAAGATTACGTCAAGACAGTCACGTATTGGGCAGCGCATTTGCTCAATCCGAACACGCCGGTGATATTGTCCGACGAACATCAAGATTTTAAATGGTTGGCGGTGGAAGACGCAAAAAGACTAGCTCAATATCCCGAAATGCAATCGTTATTCGATCAATGCGATCAGTATTTAACAAAGAACGATCAACCGACATGTTGACTTATTTATAACAAAATGATTTGTTATAAATATTACCTATAATATTGTTTTAATCTTAAGTTACGAATTCCAATTCATTTAGCCAGTTTAATATCATTAGAGTGCTCTATAAAAATAAATCGATATGTTAAACAAATCCAAACGTGAAGTTATTTAATTATTTCTAACTCTCTTATCATTTCTTACCGTTGCACAATTATTCAAATTTGTTAAAATAAATTTCTGCCAACGCAACAAAGTCGAATAATTGTTTTGACATAAAACATTTATATATTGCTGTGTTAATATCAAAATAGTTATTGTTTTAAAAATTCTAATAAGGAGACCTGCTAAGGTGGCAGTGCCCAGCATGTAGAGTTCACTACTACCGTTTCAATAATCCTTTGCGGGCAGCTTCGTTTATTGGACGAGATACGTAAGGGAATAATTAGAAGTCTGGTCTTGACACAACTTTAACAGCAATAGTCAATAAGTCGTGTCGGAAACTAATACTTGTGCAATCTAATGTACTTCTCTTCTACGTGTTACTTAAATCAACGTCTTGTTACAAAACTAACAACATTTTTAAACAAAGATAATACCACATGAATTTGCCAAGTGACTTAAATGGTAAAAAAATATTCACCGACTAACTAATTTAGTACATTTTATTTAATAAACTCTTTGAAACATATTAAAATTCAATTTTTTTCTTTTAATTCTGAATTTTAAATTTACTTGGTTCAATTAATTTAAACATACAAATTATTTGATTCTTACATGACGTTTTAGTGGATTAAGTCTTCTACCTGCCAAATTGCAATTGTCTTTTTCGATAATAGAATAATTATTATTTAAAAACATAAGACAGAATCAAGTGTTGATAACTTTTGGTGGTAAAAGTTTAATTACCAATAAAAGTTACCAACACAATGTCTATGTTTTTACAATATAATTATTTTTATAAAAAAAAAAGTATTAAATTAAAAAAAAATTAATAGTTGTAGTAAGTATATCAAGTTTATAAGTAATGAAGTATTCGGTTACCAGTTATTTTAAATAATTATCATAATTTGAGTCTAACATATTATTAGAACTAGGAATTCTGTCATATTTCAACATCCATTTCCTAATCACTAGTCTAACCTTATTACACCACACAATCTCGAAAAATAAAGTCAAACGCATTGTTATGAAACGTATATTTTATTTAATTGTTTAAAGCCAATTATATTAATTTTAATAGAACATTTTTTTAAAAAATAGCATTGAACGCCGATTAAAAGAAAATAGAATTACTTGCTCGAGTTCCAAAAACAACATTTTACAATATTAGTATATTAAAATCAAATCAATATGATTATTTATTCAAACATATTTTCTTAACAGACAATAAATGATTAATCTCTTGTAATAACTCTCGTAGTATTACTTTCCGCCGCTCTCCAAAGAACGGATTTCTGCTAATACCTCGGCTTTTTTCGATATTTTCACTCGTTGGTCCTTATCGATTTTTTCACCTTTGGCAACCTTAAGTTCCAACTCGTCAATGACCTTCAACTTTTTCTTAAGATTCCTAATTCGCTTGGCCGCCTCAACCGATATCTCAACGACGGGAACAGCCTTTGCTTTGGGTTTGGCTTCGGCTTTGGGTTTGACCTCAGCTTTTACGTTCTTTTCAGTCTTTTTAGTCGTTGTATTCGCAGCGGGCTGCAGTGGCGGCGCAGGAGCGGTTTTTTTGTCCACCTTCTTGGCCTGGTTACCGTTGCTCAATACTGGAGTGGATTTTTTTTCGACGACCTTGTTTTGTTTAGTATTATTTTTCACTTCTTTTAACGGTTGCTGTTGTTGTTGTGGTTTTTTAGTATCTTTTTGACCACCTTTTTTGGCGTCCTTCTTATTGTCTTTCTTCGATTCTTTCGGCGGTTCGGGATACAGCAACCTATGGACGGGGGTTAAACAAAAGGTCAATCAAAATGAAACAACAAAGGTATAGCGACGACGACGATACTCACTTAATGACGGCTTCGAGAGTGGCGATTTCCTTGAGAACCAAATGCTTCTTGGCAATCTTCTTGCGTTGGTCCGCGTCGATGGCCACACCTTCCTCGACCTTCACCTCGAGCTCTTCGATGTTCTTCAACTTTTTCTTCAAGTTCCTCACCCTCTTGACGGGATCGGTGCCCGGCTCTTCGGCGGCATTCTTCTCGGCCGCCTTGGGTTTTTCTTTCGGCTTCTGAACGACCGGCATGACGACGACGACGACGCTGTTATCCGGTTTGCTAGGCTGCTGCTGCTGCTGCTGCCGCTTTTCGGTGAGCACGTTCTTGCGCTGGTTCGGCGCAACGGCCGGGATGGGCGCGCCCGGAGGTAGCTTGTTGGACTTGTTGGCGGCCACGAACTTCTTGCCTTTGGACTCGTACAACGCCACTTCGTCCTGGGGAATGTAGTTCTCCTTGAGCCGGCGTTCCTTGCGCCAAGTGCCGTCGGGCCGCTGTGTAGCTGGAACGAAGTAACCTTTATCGTCTCGGGAAATAGCGGAATTTTGGTCCAAATACTGATGGGCCATTTGCTACTTACCTACCTACCTAAGCGACACACACACACACGCGGACGGCGGCGAGTCGTGGCCGGGATTTGCAGAAGAATAACAATAATAATTGAAAACGCGAGCAACGACACTACACAACGACAATAGCCGACGACGCGAAGCGAATAGCAACGATAATCGTGCGTTGAAAATATAAGTAATAATATATTATTCTACTGAAATAAAACAATAACGATCACACGATATTAGGACACCACGCGCGTTTCCGTCATCGTCGAAAAAAAAAAAAAAACCACGGCTTGGCGACGTTGTGTAGTAGCGTGTGTGTGCGGTCCTCGGAGAAAAAACCCTTATCACCGTCGGCACCGCGTCGCCGTCCAAAGAGTATGGAAAAACCGAGCGGCCGACCTTTGTTTTGGCGCCGCCAAAGACGTTGTAAAGTCGCGCTTATCAATTTTCCAAATATTATCTACGCCTCCTATCGCGATTGTTTTTTTTACAAATTATTATTATTTAATAATGTAAAAATTATTAAAATTTAAATATGTTCTCTGAAATTTAAATGCCGATGAAAACTGCTGTCAATGCGATATTAAATATTAGTAATTGAATGTAAAAAAAATTAATTTACCATTGTCGTGGACTTTAGAGGGAAAAAACGATTGTGAACAAAATAATAATGTCGCAAATCGAAGAAAAACAAAATACGGTCAAAACGGAAGCCGCGGATAATATTAAAAAAGAAAATATCATCGAATGGCCAAACAGTCCTCCTAGTATTTACGAGCAAACGGTAAACGAAAATTTTAATACATCTCTGTTAACTTTTTATGTTTCATTATTAATAAAATAATATAAAGCGAGTCGCCAGTACAACACGGCATGCACAATCGATTGAATGACAATAGTTTATTAATACAAGAAAAATAATAATTAAAAGTAGTATTGAACGTCGATATTTTCAATAAAACACAATATTTGATTTTAGTAGGCAATTAAACTACTACTGCTAATATCACAAACATTAAAATAAGAGAATTAAAAAAATAATAATTATGATAATAGTAATAAAACATTAAAAAAATAGTTCAGATTTACATATACAATTGGTAGTTAATAATATACAGCGTATCTTTTAAAATTGACAAACAAATATTTACTAGATCAGACATTAATAGACCTTTGAAAAGTTTTGTTTAGTTATCGCCATAACATTAAAGTAATACCAGGATAAAGACATAATAATAATACTTTTAGTTAATTATAATTAATACTTTGATATCTACTTATTTTTCGAATAATAAATAGAATTAACTCTGATTAAATAATTTTGGTATTTTAAATAGATTACACTATTTATAACACCAAATTATATTAAGTCTTCTGAATAGAAAATATTTAATTTATTACGTTCATATTAATATTTGAAATCAGTCGCAGGTACAACTTAATTAATATGCATAACTTACGATTATAAGTTTTTCTCGTTTTTCTATTTATATTTATTTAGGCAGTAATGAAAACCATTCTATTTTACCCTGATATAAATTTCCCAGTTGACCAGTTAAATACCAAGAAAATTGTGCTCGACTTAAAAAACAAATGAAATACGATAATACTTTTTTAAAATTGATTTTACACACTTATCATCTAAAAATGTATTTACTTTTAATAGTTTTTACCATCTTATTATTATAATATGTAAAGGTCCAAAACGGTATATCGGCGAGAGGACGGTTAAAAAATATATTACTTTTTGAGACGCGACTTGAACTTGAGCAACGTGAAAACCAATTAAAATATTAAAATTAAATACAAATTTTTTAGGAAAATTGTTTTCCTACTAACTCTTGTTTGTTATTATTTTATTGTAACTAATAAACTTGATTTTAGACACTGGTAACTAAAGAAGAATTTATGGAATCTGAGATTTCTTACAAGGAAGTCGAAACGTTTGTTTTAGACGGTAAATTTTTTTGAACTTGTATTTTCAACGTAAAAACAAAATTTAATCTGTAGTGATGAAAAATTGCCGTGTATTTTTCTAGAACTCGTCGACTCGTACAGTGGAGACGTTTTACCGGACGGATGGACAAAGATATACCATGGCAGCGGTTTACCGGTTTATTTACACGAAGAAACTAGAGTCTGCACGTTTTCCAAACCGTACTTTCTCGGCGTTAATAGTCTCAAAGTGGGTACTTGTTTGATTTTAATCTTTTATGCAGTTCGGTCAGTAAAAAAAAGACACACATTCATTGCAGAACCATCAAATTCCCGTAACAAATATACCTTGCCTGGACTACAAAGAAAGGCTAAACAAATTGTGTCCGTTAAATAGCGAAGATGACGACGAAAAACCCAAAAGTATATTTTTTTTTGTTAAAGTAAATATCCAACATTTAGTCTATGTAGTTATTTTTAACATTGTTGTGTGCAGCATTGAGTCATGAAGAATATCGAGAATATTGCAAGAAAATATTTCGGTTTAGAAATATTAAGTTCATGCGTTTCAGGTGTGTACATATGTTTAAAAAATCTACGATTAAACAAAGTAACAAACAAAAAAATCTCTTATCTGTTGTTTTAGTTCCTGGGATAAACGTCGTGAATACATTCGGATGCTCAAAGCCGATCGAAGGCGTAGAGATTTGCCGAAAGTCAAAGACAAATCTCAACTGATATCTTTTCCCGTGCAAAACACGATTGGTACAATCATTGATTTAACATTGTTGGTTTGGTTTTTCTTTAAAATTGAAGAAAATGATTTCAGATAAAATCAGTGGAGCGGTTACGCCTAAATCCGACGACCAATGGATAATCAATTTGAACGGTAAAAGTTACGTTAGCATTCTACACGAGTACATTCAAAGGGTGTTGAAGACACAGCCGTCGTACGAGTTCAAAGAGCTTGGTAATATAAAACTCTTATTGAAATTGGCCACTAGTGTTTCTCTTTAAAAAAAAAACCATTTTAAAACTCGACAACTACTTTATAAAACGGTCGTTTGCGTAATACTAAGGTAAATATTGTGTTTAATAATTGTAAATGTTTGCATTAGAAAACGCGAGATACCCGTATTTGGCCACCGTAGTGTTGGACGGCATGCAGTACGGCGTCGGGATAGGTTCCAGTAAAAAACAAGCCAAACTCGACGCCGCCAGAGCCACCCTCGAGATATTATTGCCTTCGGTCAAAGACCGTATCCAGATGAACAAACGGCACGCGATGAGCGAGCGACAGGGCAGCAGCAATAATTTCAGCGGCGCATCCGTAAGTATACTTACGATAGATAGGACGTACTAAATAGCTGTTGGGGGTACTACTATAATCCTTGATTATTTTGTTGGCGTCTGTACTTAGCTATTCGACGATCTCAACATCAAAGACTCCAGGATATCGGAATTTTGTGCACAAGCCGCCGAAACTATGCCTTACGACATGCTTCAAATGTGTGTAAAGAGGTACTGTCGCGTTTGTTATTTATTGGGAGGGGGGGGGGTTACTATTTTTATTCCATGTCGGTTAAAAAAAAATTAATTACTCCGCTCGTAGGAATTTCGGAGAAGACACGACCATAGATTGTCAGATGGACAGAATGCACGGCTGTGGTTCGGATTCGGAAATATTTTATCGGTGCACAATGTCTGTCAAAGAACACACGGCCACTGTTATATGTAAAAACAAGCGCGAGGGTCGCCAGAAAGGCGCACAAGCCTTGTTAAAGGTATTTTCTTACAATAATTCTATTTTTGCATGGAAAGGTAAAATATAATATTTAGGCTTTAAAATTTCCATAATTTTCCTAAAAAAAAAAAAAATACAACACACAATCAATTATATAAATAACTAATATGTAACACAATTAAGATTGTGTTGAAAAAATATCGTGATTAAAAAGAGTGTGAAGTATGATTTATATTTCTCTATGAAAAACTAAAAATATCGCCTTGACCCCTTTGCCGTGTTACCATCGATGTGTTTGAAGCAAAATTATTAAATCTTTTATAATTACAACGATTAAAATGCTTATGCCGATGTCGTGTTGCAGGTTTTACATCCCCACATCAACGCGTTTGGTTCTTTATTGAGATTGTACAACTATCAGAATTTTGGTAGCGGTTCTGAAAAAAAACTCGACGAACCCGGTTGCACTAGTCCAAAGCAGAACAGCGAACCCAATCTAGATATCTTGAACAAACTAAAAGAAGAAATGACCAAGTTGGAAAGAGATGGAAAAAATCTAAACAAATGTGACTCGTAACGTTTGTTTTGAATTTGAAATGACATCATTTTTGTCCTTTCAAAGCGTACATACTTTTTTTGATTGTTTAGTTTTTTTATTTATTTTACAAAATCACAGTGAATCTCAGTTAATATTATAATATTAAAACGACACAGAAAGCAAGAGTATTTCTGAGTTTCTATATTATTATTATATATATTTCTATATTTTTTTTATACACATTTTTTTTAAGTCAATAATAATAATTATAATAATAAGTGACTGTCGTGGTCTAAAAACTTTGGTTGATTAACAATTATTATTATACACAACTATTTAAAAAATATAAGAATAGTATGACACAAAAATAATTATAACTAATTATAATTGCATATTGCGGTTGCACCATAGTGTATTTAGTTGAAATCTGGTCAATTATTGCCAATATATATAACTTTTTTTTTGGTATCTACAGTTCTGGCACAGATTTCAATTCATGGCTATAATTTGACGCCGTTTGTAAAGCTAACGTTATACCGCTCTTATAGCTGGCCGGGATCACAATGTGTTTGGTAAATTGGACACCTTCTTGTTCTTCTCTAATGAGATTTACTACTTGTCCTTAAAAAAACACCAATTATTACACGTCACGTTTTCCTCTCGAGCAGAGAAAATCTTACAGAGAAAAGTGCAGCGACAATGCGGCGTGGACGACTTACCTAATACGTTATATGCGTGCCAACAAGGATCGGGATGCGAAGCCAAAGACATGAGATCTGTGTGTGGTGTCCATCTGGATAGAACGTCCGTCCTTCGTACCATCAACAACGAGGGAGAGAACAGCTGTGGACGCAAAGATTCTACAGACGCCATAGTGAGAGGATTGGACATGTAAATCTGAGCACACTCGTCGGGCCGTAAAGGGTTGTAAGAGACGCCGTACACCATTTGATGATGCCAACTGTCCGGTACGAGAGATTTCACTCCTCGTTGAAGGTTCAACGTCAATATTGGCACGGCGCCTGAAATAAGTAGGTAATTGCAATTTTAGGGTATAAAAACAAAAAGGAAGTATGAATTTTTTCTACCGTTTTACCTTTTTTTATCCAACCAGCCAACCAGGTGGCCAACGGAACGTCCATTATGGGGTTGGTGGCGAAAAATCTGGCACTGACTAGAGAATCCGTTGCGGTCTCCAACGTTCTAACAAGATCTTCGGCCATACAACCGGCCACGGAACGAGACTCTAGATAGGACACTAACGGTCCTGTCTCGTTACGTAAACGTGTACTTATAGTCCTGACAACGCGGTCTGTACTAAACGGTATCCGTAAAGCCAACTAAAAATGTGACAAAAAAAAAAATTAAACCAATAAACGTTAAGACTGTTAAAAAAAAAATGATTTCGAGGTAACGACGTCAGACGAGAATTAGGCTGACGATATGTTTTCAATTCCGTACACCCTCCATTCTATTAAGGGTGTACATAATAAAAATAAGGAACTTTGTTCCAACCAGAACGTTTTAGAAGAACTTAGTGTAGGTCATGAATACTACTAATTTATTATTGTTAGCATAATATAAAACGATTCCACATACGAGAGCATTTATAACAGCGGTGGCCCCACAGGCTGACACTCCGATTTGGCTCACTTGCCGTTGGGCTGCTTCTTTTTCAGACCAGACCATTTCTTTCACCCAACCCAAATCGTCTACTCGCATTCTCTTCATGTTTTGGCAAACCTCCTAATGACACACAATATTAAATGAATCTATGTACAAATTTAGATTGAAAATCGTTGATTTTGTTTTACCATAGCGTCTGCATTACGCCTAATACATCCGTTGCGTTCTTCTTTGATGTTGTTGTAGATATCGGTAAACTGTAAACTCGAGCTAGCGGTCGGTTGCGAAATGTTAGAATTGTTCATACTGTTTTTGTTCTCACAGTTATTACATTCTTTCACGCTACTAACACCCGAACAGCTCGGCATCGGTACGTCGGAATCAATCATTGGATTTCTACAAAAAAAAATGTATAAACATAAATGAAAGTCCATTTTAGCAAATATGTAATCATCGACTGTTACGTTTGATGGGCGACTGGGTCGGGTGCGTCGAGCTCTTCGTTTTCAGATTCGTTTTCGACCGTGGGTTCAGGATCGAAATCCATCTCGAGGTAGTCCATCAAGGGCGATGCACTTCTATCGTCCACCCGTAACCTATCGTCGACGGCCGGCTCCCGTCTGTCGCCCCGGTACCTGTAATAACAACAGTCATCGTCCGTATCGCTCTCTTCCTGATCGCAGTACACCAGACTGGCGGCAATCATGTGGTCCCGTCGTGCAGCGCTATCGCAGTTGGCACAGCACTGTGTGTCGCCGTAGCCGTTTACTACATTGTTGTTTAGCCTAGTAGAAAAAACGAATTTACAGATATTTAGATTATCTAACGAATTAAAAAAAAATATATCAACCAAGTGTAGTACACAGTGAGTAGTATGTAGGATGTACCTGGATGCTTCTTTTTTTGGACAATCGGCTGGGTTTTGATCGGCGGGTCCACGGCTGGTGCCAGGTTCGTTGGGTTCATTTCTGTTATTCATGTCAATATACGATTCAATCAAGGCAGCCGACTCGCCGAAGCAACGCGGACTAGGCCCAACATCGGTCGGCCGAAATATTCTTTTCCTTTATTTAATAATATTATCGGCTGGTTAATGCACACACACACACGCACATACGAATAACAAAATACTGTGTCGGTTTACAACACGCTCGTCTACGATTAACGATGATGTTATTATTAAATTTCAACAATAATAAAGTGTTATTATACACTGATGTGCGAACAATCGTAAATGGTTGTGGTTACACGGTGATAACGCCAGAGGTCCGACGGCGGCCCGTGACCAACGCGACAGGTATGCCGTCAAAGTGTCGTTATCAATTTCCACAACATGGCGGCCGCGACAGCAGCGGCTGTCGGCCCGTAAGAAACACACGGCCGCCCCGGACCGAACGGTAGCCATTATCGTCGAGTCGTTTGGCATACCTGTGTGCCTGTATGGTCATTGTGCCATCGCAGCGGCACCGTTACTGTTATCAAGGGCACGACAAAGTAAACGGGAGTTAGGTATGTCGGCGACTCGTTTATTATGCCGTTTTCCCTCGGAACGGCAACACTGCGCGCGCACTCGGCGCAAGTCTATCGAGACACGGTACGCAGTGCGGTCTCGCGGGCCAACGGAAATTTACCGGCGACACGTCGCACGGTGGCAACACTGTCGGCGTCGGCGGCGGCAAGAGACCCGCTAAAACGTGCCGGAGTTGAATTTTCCGCTTCACGTCCTGCAAGTTCACTGTTCTGCCGACTGTCCTGCCAGTTGTCTGTTTTAGTCAAAAGGTTCGGGTCGTCGTTCGTTTCCAGTAATATTATTGTCAATTCGTTTATTTTGATTTGTTTTTTTTTTTGAGTTGTTATAGTTTTAATTTTTTTTTTGTTCATAATTTGTGATCGTCCGACGAACGGCCGTATTTTCAATTTCATACTCGATACGATTTTCCTCGGCCAACACAACACCGGGTAAGTCTAATAAACATTCATATTATAACCGTTTTATTCCAACTGCACATATTGTATATAAATATATATTTTTTTTTTTGAAAACCGACCACAGGAAATTTCAACCCCCCCCTCTCCCTTGTTCTTCATAGTTCAACACTAAAAAGACATATTTTTCGTTTTATTTATTTAGTACATATTCTTAGATACTTAACATTAAAAAAAAATTTGTCGATAACTTGTTATTAGACTTTACTAGTCTTGTCAAACAACCGACAAATTTCACGAAGGAAATCGAAAAATGTATACAAAACGAAAAATATTAAAATAGAGGTATTATTAAAAAAAAGGAAGGAAAATTAGGTATTTAGAAAATAATTTTTTAAATAATAGTACCTAATATTATAATTTTTTCTAGGGACCTAAACTGCACATTTAAGTTAAATAATAAGTTTTACAATAAATTCTGACAAAACAAATGTCAATGTTTTATGTAAAAGCATATTTTAAAGGGGAAAAAAATACAAGAGCATATTTCTTTTCATTTTTACTGCACAAAAACATCATGTTTCTAATTTGATTTGGATAATGGTATAAATGTGGTCTTAATAATTATTAATTATTATAAGTATTTTATTTTAATTGTACCTATTTGATGTTTATAAAATGATGAGCATAAAATAATTATCACGGTATTATATGCCAAGCGTTAAATTAAAAAAAAAATAAATAAATAAATATCAATACAACAGTGTAGTGTATAATAATTTTCAGTTTAGAAATAAAAAGTGGTTGTTTGGCGTTTATTACCTAAGACGTGGTGAATCGATTTAGTCAAAAAGTTTACAACTTTTGTAAAAATCTACATAAAATTTCAACAAAAAAAAAAATTTATTTTAAGGTACAAATGTTGGCTATCGAAATTTAGAATCTATTAAAAATTCTCCTTGGTGTAGGTTTTCCCCTTTTTTTTTTATACTTTTCATAATATTATTAATTTTGAATAATATATTCATCGTTTAGTTTTAAACGTGCTTTTTTAACTGCTACAATCGAGATTTGTATTATAATGATATAGTTTATTAGGTATATTACCTATGTACTTGTTTTGTCGGATGGTTGCCTTAGTAGGATAGATGAGCAATTGCCCGCCTCTTAGACTTTATCGTTTGGACGTTAATAAGAAATTGTTTTAGTGTCGGTATTTGTTTAAGTAGAAAATTGAAGAAAAAAAAATAATACAAAATTTAATTTTTTTTATTTCACAATTATGTCCGACCGACTGAATCTGACTTCGAACCGTCAATTTAAGTATACAAAATAAATGATAATATGTAAATAAAAAAAAATAATGAATAAAATCACAGCATAATATTTTTATTTTTCTAAATAAGTCCCAGTGAATTATATGACGTTTAGTGTTATTTTCCTGGAATAATAATGTTTAAGTTTAATAATAAATAATAATATTATATACATTATTTATATCCATACAAAGTACCATATTATTATGATGTCTATTTTTTTGTCATTTACTAGAATTTAAATTTGGTATTTCACAATTTTGTTTGCTATACGATATAGCTGTTATATTAATAATTTGATGTATATTTATGGAATTTGATTAAACCAAATTTGTTTCACAAAACGTTATTCAATCATATTTTATCAAATAGTATTACACGTGAAATTTAGCTCCTACATAATATTCTATTAAAAAAGTCCAATATAACTTATATAATAAAACAGAAAATATGCTAGGAACAATTTAAAAATATACAATAATAATGTAATAAGTTAATATTTACAAAGACCACTTATATTATGTTGTACAAGTGATTTCATTTGTCTATGGCGTATCATCTATGTCGAAAAATATTCGTGTTGGTCAATCAAAGTAGTATAACGATTTTAATGTAATTGTAATGCGAATTTTATTACTTTTATAATAGTTTCAATTTGTACGTGTGGTGTTTTTAATTAGTTTACCTAATTATATTTTTAATATACCATTTTGATCAACAATAATTGATAATAGATAATAATATAACAAAAATACTTTCTTGAAAAGTACATACAGAAACACATAATTCCATCCATGAACTCCTGATTGTTCTTGTTTCGGGTAAGTCTACAATACTTTTAGAAAACTATTTTTAATTTGAATATTTTACATTTTTTTTTATTAAATTTTACTTGAACAAATTATTTTATTTGGTTAATTGAACAGGAATGAAACGCGTTAAAAATATTCCACAAATAAATACATTTGTACATATTTTTATTTTTATAATAATTCTAATAATAATGACCTGAAAGCAATTTGGCGATTATATTGGATTCGTTCTGAAAAAACAATTAAAAGCGAAACATTAATTGTTTTATACAGAAAACGCACAGTTATAATTAAATGAACCTATAACTTCTAACAAAATTAGTAATTGTAATACTTCATAACCTACTTATACTTATGTAATTAGGACTTTCTTAAATGGCGAAAAAACATTCCTTGATACCAATTTGGCTTTTGACAATTAAGAATTAATCATGTTTACTAATTTCTATTTTTTTTATAGTACATCTTAAAGCTTTCTTAGTATAGACACTTGCTTAGGCGGCACTTGAAGGAATAAGACAAATTTATTTTTCGCCCTCTAAAAATGTACTAAATAATAAAATATTCCTTAAATTTAAAACAATTTTCTAATATTTTTTTTTTTTTAAAAAGTGCTTGGTAATTTTTAATTTAAACCGACATTTTGGCTACTTCATTAGTTTGCGTACTGGAGATTTTATAATTGGAAGGGGGCTTAAGTTAGGTCAAGCATGTCAGGACCGTTCCTCCATTAAGAGAACACAAATTTTTAATTTTTAATGAGTTCTTATGTTTTGCTAAAAATATTGACCGGTTGAAACCTATGTTTGATGAAATCATTCTGGAGTTATTTCTGTCTAAGCAAATTGGTCTAACAATTTTTAAATCTTCTCAATTTCCTATTATTTATTAATAGAACAGTGTGTTAATTACAATACAAATACACAGGCAATAGTCATATAGGCAAAATTGTTTTATTACAAAATATTTATTAAAAATCCGGAAATCGGATTTATTATTTATCATTTCGCTTATGTACAGATGAAAAAAAAAACATTTTTTCTATTTTTATAATAATTTTTCTAAGAAATATTTTTATAAAAAAACCTGTTAAAATGTCATTTTTTCTATTGGTTTTAAGTCTACACTCATCATAAATCTTGAAAAATCATCTTAAAAGATCTAATAAACATATTTAATGTTCGTTATTTAGATTTTTGACAGTTAATTTATTTATAATTTTGTAATTTATTAAGTATGTAATAAGATGTACAGAAGTTTGATTATGAATGTTATGAGTATACAAAATATGCCCAGTGTAATTACAGGCGTTTATCTACACTGTGATAATTGTCCAAGACAAAATGAAAACAATTCTATTGCTAGGTATTTTGCTTGCTTTAACTGATTCAAATGAAGCACCTCATTTTGCCCATCTGTGCTACCAAGTGCCGTGGATACCCGATATACTATTTACTAATGATTTTCAATGTTAATGTCGTTTTTTAATTATACCTAACCAGTTGTATACTAATATATGATACTTCATATATCAGTATATGTGTTTTGTATGCATAAAAAAAACAACCATCCGCTATAGCTGGGCCCACAGACCATGACTGGTCAGTGTTTACGGTCGGATGGGTTCATCTGCCTTAAGACCAACGAAAAACGTTAATGATTTTCCACTTAAGTCGCCCTCGCGTAAGATCACTAAAAAACTGGGTTACTATAACGCAGTGCAGAGCATGTGGTAAAAAATAAATAAAAAAACTTTGGATATCAATTTAATATTATGCAGTATGCCGCTAGCGCGTTATCTTTTTAGCCGACTGTATAGTATTTTTACTGCTATGAACCTAAGCCATCACGGTCAGATGACTTTTGCAATTAACACCATATTGCGGTAACTGAAAAACAGCTATTTTTTTTTCCAAACGTCCGACTTACTACCTATTCCGGTATCTTTTTTTTTAATATAGGTAATTCTTATGTACCTACGTAGTATAAGATGTGATAATAATTAAAAAATATTTATTCCGTTAGGTCTTTTGAATCGGTCGCCAGATAAAATATATATACGTACAGCAACGTACAGTGTTTTTTTTTTTATCATATAAGTTGATGACATCATTGTGTCGAAGTGAAGTGTATTCAAATATAATATCAAGATCATTTTTTTTTTTTAAATAACACGCTATATTATTTCTTAGTAAATCAATATACAAAAAAACTTTACAATAATAATTATTAAATTTTTTACCACTTGCTTTTTAAAATAAAACTTGTGTTTTTTTTAATATGATTATTGAAAAATAGGGTTTGCTGTTTTGGTCATTGGTAGGAAGGCAGAAGTATTACATTTGAGTGTGCTTTTGATACGCGCAGAGAGTGGTTTTGTGTTTGATAACTGACAAGTGGACTTCAACATTTGTAAGACAAGTTTTTCACTGTAATTTTAGTTGCACATGTTTACTGGGTGTAGGTTTTTTCTGTCTATAAAATCTCTATGTCAGATATGTTCTATTCTAAGATGGGTCTTGTTCTCTCGTTACCACCTTTGGGTCAATTATTTTATCTAAATTTTTTTCTCTACATGTTATACATTTCAGCGAGTCCCATTTATTTTGCCATACATTAGTTATGACTCTTTTAACTTTTATAGTTTTGATTTTATCGTCACTGGTTGCGCTTGTTTAGAATATTTTTGTGTTAGGCCTAATAAATGTAAATTGCACCAATCTGAGCTAACTAATTTGTAGAATTGAGCTTTAATTTAAAACATTAGTGTGATCATCAGAATTAAAAAGTGAAATTACCGAATTAATTTTCCAGATAGAGGAAAACGTCTTTTCGTCCAATAATCGTTTAAACTACAACCAGACACTGACTTAATTTATAAAGAAATGACCCAGATAGGCCGTCT